GCAGCAAAGATGTTGAGCTAAGCTCTGTGTGCCTTCACAGCATTGCCCCTCAGCTCTCAGATTTTCAGGTGTATCAGTACATATCTTGCTCACAACTCTGCTTTCCATACAGCTGCAGTCTGATTGTTTAAAGTCACTCACATAGGTGTTGCAAAGGAAAACACAATTTTGGCCCCACTCTATAATGTGTATTGTGTCATGCAAAAGCTGCTTAACCTACAGGGGATTAAATGACCTTCCATAGCCAACAGCCTGAGTCTGTGCCAGCACATTCTTTTTCAAGTTTCTCCTTGCTGCAAGTCGACTGTTTTCCAATTCTTTCTTTAACTTCTCTGTTTTTTACACGGTACAAAACTGAGCTCTTGTCTCAGTTGTTGTTAATCCTGTTCTTCCCAAAAGGAAGGATGCAGCAGCTGCCTTGGCATCTTGCTGTTGAAAGGGGTGATGGATGGCAAGAGAGAAGCTCCAAGTGGGTGCTGCTGGACACCCTTCCCCATGTTTCAATGCAATTTATTTCATCTGCTTACTAGTAAAACGACTGCTGAGACAGTTTTTCTGGGTTAAAAGCACAGAACAAGGCACTGATGGGCGCAGTTGTTTTAAAGCTGCCAAAAATCACGCTACATTTAGCCCTACATGAAAGATCACAGAAAAGCAAACGGGTTGTATGTGTTATTCCTGCTCTTCTGAACAAGGCCCAGATAACTCAGTGTCTGGGCCAGCTTTAAAGTTTGAGAACTGCACCTTTTTTAGGTTTTTTTTAAAGTAAAACCTCTGAATAATCCATCAGGTAGTGATTAAAAGCAAAGGATAATTAGGAAGTTGACTTCTCTTTTGTCCCCAGGCCATAGTATTCTTTACTGTTTCACCTGTGTTGGTGTAAGGAGAGAGGCCAGCTTTTCCCCATCCCTGTGTCAGGATCATGCCACAGGAATGTGTAATGCTAAAGGAGACAGAATTTGAGTTCATGGTTGGGTCACTACCTCAGAAAAGGCTCAGTAAGTCACCTCTCCTTAAAAGTCTCCTCCTCAGCTTCTGAGCAGGCCACCTCCATCCCTTCTAGAGGCCACAGTCAGATTCTACTGAACAGTTCTGAACTTCAACAAAATATAACCTGATTATATTTATTTTAGCCAAGCTGTTGAAGGCCCAGTAGTGCTTTCAGACCATCCCCATTGCTGACAGAAAATAATGCTTTAGCCCCTCAATGTTCAGGATGACATGAAACAAACTTCTTCCACCAAAATTCAGCAGCATAGAGAGGAGACAAAGTAAATCAACCCCCTTCATATTTTTAAACGCTTTCAAGTGTTATATAAATAAGCAAAAGAAACCAGTCACAAAGAAATTATCTCAGCCTGCTCCAATCAGCATTCCCCCATTACAGAGTACATTCAACAGGAGGTTAGGTCACATGGATTTTTAAGCTGTTAGGTGCTGAACCACCACCAAAATTCACTGGAAAAGAGGCAGGAGTTACCACATGATCCAGTCTTTTTGGTTTTTGATTTTAGCTGTTTGTTTTCGCAAGCAGAGAAGATTCCTCGCTTCTTAGAAAGCAGTTAATAAAGATCTAAAGGTCTTATCCAGGTGGCACCTGGTGGTACACCTGGTGATAGTGCTTAGTCCAAAGGTTCATATCAGTGACTCCACCCACACAGCCAAGGTCAAGAGGAGTTTTCAGTTTTTCCTTTGCTCGGGCCCATGAACTCCAGGCCCTCGATGGGTATGTCCTTTTCCTTTATTGCTTTCTGAAAACGAAGAAAAACAAAACCAAAAAAATTTAAATTGACATGTCTTTACAGTGCTACATGATGTAATCTTTGGTGCAAAACACAGAATCACAGAATCAATGAGGTTGGAAAAGACTTCTGAGATCATCAAGACCAACCTGTGACCCAATACCACCGTGTCAAGCAGACTGAGTGTGTCCAGTCTCTCCTTAAACACCTCCAGGGATGGTGACTTCACCATCTCCCTGTGCAGCCCATTCCAATGTCTAATCACCCTTTCTGTGAAGAAATTTGAGCTGATGGCTAACCTAACCCTTCCCTAGCACAGTTTAAGACTACGTCCTCTCATCCTATTGCTACCTGCCTGGGAGAGGAGAGATGGTCTAGAAAAATTGATCTAGAAAAAAAAACCAATAATGAGGCTGGTTTGGATAAAGCTGCAATGCTGAGAGTTAGTCAAGTATGCACCGAGAATTCACTGACAGTATGGATCCTATCACGGAAACAAGCCGCAGCCTTTACACCAGCGGGACGAAGACGTTACATCACCAACAAAAACACAGCGAGAGAACATCTGCGAAACACTCCGCGCCACGACCGACAGGAACAGGGCGAGGCCAACCCGGCGGGGCGCGAAGCTGAGGCTGCTCCGGGGGCCGCGGCGGGAGCTCGGGGCGGGGAGCTCGGGGGCAGAACGGCGGGGCCAGACCCACCTGCACGCAGAGCTGGTACCGCTTGAAGAGCTGCCCGCAGGGGTCGCCGGCGCTGTCGCCCTTGAGGAACTTCTCCGCGAACCAGCGGTTGAAGCACTGGTCGTACTCGCGCTTGAGCTCCGTGCACGCCTCGCCCACGCTGTTCATCGCGGCGGCCCCGCCGGGCCGCGTCCGGGCGCGCCGCCCCGTGACGCACATCCGGCGCGCGGCGGGGTGACGTCGCGCGCGGGATGTGACGTCACGCCCCCGGAAAAGGGAACGCGGGAGATGCGGGCGCTGGCGCTGGCGCGGTGGGTCCGCGCCTGGAGGGTCCCCGCGCGGGGGCACAGCGGGCACGGCGCGCACCGGCCCCCGCCGCAGGTACCGCAACCCCTCGCGAGGCGGGAGGGACAAACACTGAGTGAGCTTCACTAAGTTCCCCGTAAAAGCTGGAAAAGCCCTTTGACACCATCAGACCCACCCGTCGCCCTACAGACAGCGGCCGGGACACCCGGTGTGTCCCGGCCGCTGTCTGTAGGGCGACGGGTGGGTCTGATGGTGTCAAAGGGCTTTTCCAGCCTTAACGGTTCTGCGGTTCTTTGTGAACTCCGGTTTTGTCACGGAACGAGTTTTTAGTTAAAAAAAGGCACTATTAAACTTGCTTCTTGCTCAGTTTTGCCTTTTTTTTTGTCCGGGTTTGACAGCAAAAAGTGTCGGTGGAAGTGCTGGACCACCTGGAGCACCTGGCCCTGGTGGATTTCCGTGACTCGGAGGGCGTGGAGCGGCTGCAGAAGGCGATCGAGTTTGCTGACCAGCTTCATGAAGTGAACACTGACGGCGTGGAACCCATGGATTCAGTCCTGGAGGACAGGTGATGGACCACAGCAGCCTCCTTTTATCTGTTAATCTGTCAAACTGTTCGCTTTTGTGACCTTTTATCCCTGGGAATCACCCTTTGCTTACAGAAATGGCCCCTTTGGTTACAGAAATGTCTTAGCATGGTTGTGTGTGGGAGAAAGATGCCACTGGCCCACGAGATCCTTATGTGTGACCACAGCAAAGGTGAAGTTCAGTTCCCTGGTCTGTCTCGTCATGATTGGTCTGCACACGCTGCTCCTCAGACATCTGTCAGTGGCATTCTTGGGTGCTTCAGAATGTTCCAGTACTTGTCTCAGTGCTTACTTAGGACCAAAACCAGGTTTAGTGATAAGCTACCCTTCCTACTTCATAAAATAGCCTAAACACCACTAGTAATCTGTGTTCTTCAGGTGTCTGTACCTCAGAGAAGATGATGTGACAGAAGGCAACTGCACCAAAGAGCTGCTGCAAAATGCCAGAGAGAAAGTAGAGGAGTATTTTGTAGCCCCACCAGGTATTGACTTGTTTGTAAAAAGCTCTTAATCTTTCTTGAATTAACCTGAGGAATATAACCTGCCATAGCTGCACTTATTTTCAGGAATCCTAGCTTATAATAGGGAAGTACTAAAATAAATGTAGCCATCTGTGTAAAACTGTGCAATTTGTTGGTCCTAAAGCAGTACAGAGGCTGATCTGGCTGAAGTTACTGAACGTGTTGAGCAATTCTCTACAGGAAGTCAGTCAGGATTTACTTTCCTGACTTGCTCAGGGAATTTAAGCTGCCTGAACATACTTAGAATAAACCAGAGAAGCACTTTAGTGCCAAGTTGTACAACCCAGAAGGTAACCTACTGCTGGTCTCATAAAACTTCCTTTTTGTTTTCCCTCAGGTAACATCCCTTTACCAAAGCTGGAGGAACGAGACACTTTTCTGCAGGGCTCTTAGTGACAGCCCAGAGCCCAAACACCCTTTCACTATTTTATCTGGGAAAACGAAGTTTTGTCCAGTTCACAACTGAAATACCCTGACCTGTATTTTGGTCAAAAGAAGAGCACTTGCAAGACAACTTACAGAAGAGAGAAGGTGTAAAAGTTTAGTAATGCTACTGAAATACTCAATGTCTGTGAAGCTGGAAGGCAGATGACCTTAGTGCTTTTGTTTAGCAAAATTAATTTCATGTTTTTCTTGAAGATACAGGATGGCTTAAAGGCTTTGAAGAGAACATTCACAGGTAATGACTAAAAACGCCATTTTTCCTCAACAACTTTGTTGGGGAAACGAGAAATTGGAAGGCTCTGTTTTTGTATTTCTTGCCTGTAGCTCAACTCTGGCTCTGACCTGTCAGAAGTAACAGAGTCTGGTGTGGAGGAGGAGTCTGTGACATTGCTGAGTATCTCTGTGACATATGGACGGAACTCAGGGTTTCATTATTGAAGAAAAGGACTTTGAGAAGATTAATCAAATATTTGCTTGTACTGAATTATTTCCTTTTTATCTCTGTTCTCCATGTCTGTCTGGGTTACCTTCTATTTCCCAGTCTGTATTTCTATCCTCATAAATTAAATAACTGGAATTCTACATAATTTGAGAAAAACACAAAAATGTGTGTTCTAAAATAAAAGGTGCTTGCAAAGAAGTAGCACAGCTCCAAGAACAAAATGAGTCTCCCTGACTGTGACTGGAGAGGCCAGGAGACCATCACAGGAGGAGGTGCTGTGTAACATAACATTGTCACTGTCTCATCCTGGCAGAGGATTCTGAGGCTTCCTCATGGAATCTCCAACACTTAGAAGCAAGATAAGCCAAGGCTCACTGAGAGAAACCAGAGACCTGCTGAAAGAAAAATACTGCAGCAAACTAGAACCACATAGTCCACACCACTCACTTTCAGGCCACAAGGGGCACAGTAAAAGGCTGAAAAACAAATGTTTTTTCCTGGGTGGTGCCCTGTCCACATACATATGGATTTAATAATCCATAATTATTTATTCCAGTTGTAACTCCATGCATTAAAAGAGATCATATGGAATTGTCTTCAGAAGTGCTGGAAAAGGCTGAAAAATCACCAGTTCTGAGTCTGCTCTTGTGGCTCTTGAGAGCCAAACAGGAGAAGGAAAGTGGCCCCTCCATGGCTGTGCTGGCACACGTTTCCCCTGGGGGCAGAAACTCACCTTGTGACATTGTAAGTTGATGTCATCCAGCTTACACAGCACATGTTCTGTATCTTTTTGCAGAGAAAAGCCATTACTCCCATTCCATCCCGCTGTAACCAGATTGCTGCTATGTGTCCCTTCAGCTCCTGCCAGTTGTGACAGGGGATGTCCTGAGCAGGGACTTAGAACTATTTCTGCTGTGAACTGCATCTTCCACATCCCTGCAAACAGCAGACAATATACATTAGAGATTAATGATACATGTGCCTTGTTTCTTGACATCTCAAAAGTCCACCAAGCATAATACAACCATCATAATTCAAAAAAACACGGAAAAAATACTAAAACCTTTGAATAATACTGGTACTAGGTTGAGCCATTGGTGGCTTGTTCTTAATACCATGTGGTCAAACTGCTTTGCTCTTTGTTATGTGCCATGTATTTAGTGGAAAACCTTGGCTGAGCTGGCTTTGCTGGTGTAAGAAATCACAGCTTCTGGGTAGGATTCACTTTCACTTGCTGCCCTCAAAGGTTGCATGTCTGGTAAGCTTTGAACTGTTCTTTTTCTGGAACTGATTGTTTCCCCCCAGATTTCTCTGTCAGGAAATGAGAGCAAACACTTGTCCCACTCTTACTTGTCCAGTTACTTCATTATTTGTTTAAGCTTCCATAATATACACACACACATATTTGCATATGCATAAAATATGTAATTACTATAATACCTGAATTCTTTCAAGGGTGTTGAAGTAAAGCCTGTATTTAACCCCACTAATCAAATCCTCTGCAAAGCTGTAATGCTGTATTAGTGTTTTAGTCTTGGGCTTTTCAAGATTCAGACCCTGCAAATGCTGAAGTTTTACAAATATACAAGCTCAGCCTAAAAGTAATTTAGGATGCATATATAAATCATGATAAGGAAAGACTCAGTCGTGTTAGCAGGTAATTCCCAGTTTGAGAAATTCCTCCTTGGAATTCCATTTTGGCCTTATCCTTTTGACCATCAGAGAGAATGGGAACAGTATTATTTACATAGAAAAAGGGAGAGGAATTTGAGAGTGAACTGCATGGCTGCAGGAGCTTCCAACCCAAAATAGCATCAGGTAACTATTTAAAAGCAAACCAACAATTTGGATAACATGAGCCCACATTCCCAGTGCTAAGCTTAAAACTGCCAGTTCAGTGGTGCTCCCACACACTCCGGTGAGAGAACAGACTGCCTGCTGCTTGTTCCCCACAGCCCAAACTGCATTTAAAGTGGAAAACACACATCTCCTTAATGGAGGGGTTTGCTGCAACTTCACCACTAATGAGGGAATTACAGCCCTGACTCAGACACCTGCAACCACCCAAACAGAAATGCTGGCAGGGGCTGGATGAGCTGCCTGTGGGGCAGAACATGTCAGTGCCTGAGCCTGCCCTTGGCAGGTCTGACGTGGTGGGTGCTGAGCCCCCCAGGATGCTGCTGAGCCCCACTGGGCCCTGGTTGCACCCTGAGGGTGACACAAGGCACCCGTCGTGTGCTGGTTCACCTGCTTTCACTGCAGGGCCCCAATGTGCAAGTGGAGCATATGTTTCCTCTGGAGACCACGGAGAGAACTTGACTCAGACCTGCCAAGATTTTTCCACCCCTGTAAATCTGTAGATATAAAATTGGATTAGAAGCCCTCGCATGCAGATTCCAGGTTTACAAAGAAAATGTCAATGTGGAGACTTCTTCAGTTTTACAGAAAGAAGATGGTAGTTGTTTTATTGCTAATAATGATTATTCTATGTTTTGATAGTAACTGGAAGCCCTGGAAAAAAATCCCTATTAATACAGCAGTATGGTGTGCAACAAAGAGCAAAAAAATACCTCTCCTGCAAAGTGCTTACAATCTAACCTCCATCTGCAAGAGGAATCTCATGATATGCCTTATCCAGTTTCCTTCAGCACCTCCTCTACCCCAGCTATCATCTCCTGTGTGCATTTGTTCTGCCTTCCCCTGCAGCTCTGCCCTGGGGGAAACTGTACTTTTATATTCTTGATTAACAAGTAGGGCTCTAAAGTCCCTCTTTAAAGTCCTGTATCTTGGGCTTTAATGTTCCCCATTAACGACGTGTATCTCACCCACACTGACATTTCCTGCAGTCGTCATCACATCTGTTTCCTCAGCCAACCATTTCTTAATAAATGCACAGAAATTTGCCTGCAGCTACCAAACACAAGCGCCTCCTCAGAGATTCATGGGTGTTTCTGAAGTTTAGTGTAAGCACTGGGAAGACTGTTAAATGGTTCAGTCCTGTCAGCACAAAATTGTCCAGTACTCAAACAACCACTGCTAGTGCTGCAGATACTAAAGACTGTTCTGTAAATTAATTACTGGCTGTGGCCCCAAGACCATTCAGAGCTTCTTCACGTTGCTAGCACACAAGCAAAGCTGTGAATTGCATCTCTCCTATTTGGAATGCTAAAACCTGGGAGCCAGAAGTTATTCCTGAGATACTCTAGTGTGACAAAAGTGTTACATTATCCAGTTTCAATATTTTTGGGGGCGGTATATTTTTTCTGAGGTTGTCTCAGAGCTTGCAAAAGCAAAGGGTTGCTTGCAGTTATGCTGCTTTTGCTGTGAATGACACTGAGCAGGCAACTATACTGTACTAATATGAAAAAATATTTGCATTTCAGGTGAGGTGGATGACTGCTCTTGAGGGTACAAAGAAATGGGAGTCCTACCAACCAGTATTTGAAAACCTCTTCTAAGTCATCCTGTGCTGTTTGCTATGGACGTGGTTCCTGTTATTAACAGATCACCAGCTCTGGAAGACTCAACAGCGATGTTTTATCTGCTGACAAGAGCATAAGCAGAAAGTGCCCCAGGGAGAGTGAAACTAACTAAACAGAGCACTCAGGATCTCCCAAAACATCTTGCTTCATTTAAACAAACAAACAAAAAAAACCAACCCCAAAACCAACCAAGCAAAACAAAACCCAAACCAAACACAAACAAACAAAATGTGGCAAGAGGGGCAAGAAACGGTGAGGTCTGCAAAAGATGCCATAAAAGAGACTTGAGAAGTCTGATAGGTTCAGTTCACTTCATGAACAAAGTTTGGAGCTGACTTGATCATACTCAGTAAACATGGGTAAGAGATTTCTCTCAGAGGTCATTTAGTCTGAATGGAAAACAGCTGAAAACAGACACATGATCAGGACATGGTCAGAACAGGACAGATGATCAAGTGCCATTTACAAGCTATGGAACTCCTTCCTTTGACAGCGGTGGGCTTTGCTCTCAGTAAAGGGCATATTACTGAAAAAACTATCCCAGATAATATCCCAATATTATTTCAGTAATATCCCATATTACTAAAAGACCTATTCCCAATAAGAGCTTGTTTCAAGAGAGAAACAAAGTCTGTTGCAGAGATTACTGGGTTGAACTCACTGTCTCGGTGATCCAGGCTGGGGCAAGTAATAAAATGGCTTTTGGGGTGCACATATCAACCATGGAAAGGTGCTTTACAGCAGCTGGTGGAGACATTACAATTCCTTGGAGGCTGAGGGTACTTCAAGCAACAAGGTTTTTGCAGAGAATCACCAGACGACGCCAGACAGAATCAGAGAAAAAATGAGGTTGGAAAAGACCTCTGAGATCATCGAGGCCAACCTGTGACCCAACACCACCGTGTCAACTAGACCAGGGCGCTCAGTGCCGCGTCCAGTCTTTCCTTGAACACCTCCAGGGACGGCGACTCCACCACCTCCCTGTGCAGCCCGTTCCAGTGTTTGATCACCCTTTCTGTGGAGAAACGTCCAACCTCAACGTGCCCTGGCGCAGCAGACGGGTAGCACGGGAGGCAGGACCAGATCCACAGGCCCATCCCAGCGGGTGCCGGCAGTGCGGGGGCTCCTGCTCCCCCCTCACCCCTGCGGTCGCCATGGCAACGGACGCGGCGCGGGGCATCCCGGGCCGCAAGACAACGCCGGGGTAAAGCCCTGCCGGGCGCCGCGCCGCGGCCAATGGGCGCTCGGGGGCCGGCGGGGGTGGCCAATGGGCGCTCGGGGGCCGGCGGCGCTGACCAACGGCTGGCCAATGGGCGCGGAGGGGGCGGGGCCGGGGCGCTTCGAGGCGCGCACGGCCCAGAGAGCAGCGCCGTTCGCTCCGCACCGCGCCGGCCCCGCAGCGCCCAACGGTGAGCGACGGGTGCGGGGTCCCCGGGGACACTCGGCCACCCCGGTACACCGGCGGCTCCCCTGTGCACAGGCGCTTCCCCATTCGCCGCCTCCGCTTTCCGCGGACCCCTGGCTCTGCTGGCGGGACCCTTCCCTTGCAGCCGCGCGGGGCTCCGAGCCCTTGGCAGCGGGGCTGGGCTTGGGTCGCCTCTGTCGGCGGGGAAGAGCCGTCGCGGCCGGGCGATGGAGCGGCTGCGCTGGGCTGGGGAAGGGCTGGAGCGGGGCTGGGAAGGGCCAGGAGGGCGGTGGGGCTTGTGTGGGTCCGGCTGGAGAGCGGGTGCTGAACGGGACCCGGCATTTCAGCCGCCGCTGTTCGGGCTGTGCCCGGGGCTGTGCCCGGGGCTGTGCCCGTGCCCGACACACCCGGCAAAGCGCTGCCCGGCCCCGGGAGCTCGCTGGGAGTGACGGTACAGGTGACTCTGACAGGTGCTCCTGCAACTTTGAATTTTCTCCTTCTTCTCCCAAAGCAGGCAATCATGAGCGATCGGAAGGCAGTGATCAAAAATGCGGACATGTCAGAGGAGATGCAGCAGGACTCAGTGGAATGTGCTACTCAGGCCTTGGAGAAATATAACATCGAGAAGGACATCGCTGCTCACATAAAGAAGGTAAATGTTGGCTTGTAATGTGCTCATGAAAAATCAATCAGGGAGAATGCTGCTGGGCAAGTCGCTCTAGAGAAACAAGCTCTAGACACACTAGATAATCAAGTTGGACTTTCTCTCTTTATGTTCCTTTCTCCACCCTTTATGTGGACCTTTTTAGGTCCTTCTGCTTTACTATGGTAGTGCCTTATGCCTTTTCTGCCACTGTCCCATTGTCCAGGTGGGCAGATTGGCAGCTGACTGTCCCTGTGACTGATGAGCTGGTACAAAACACGGGCTCTATATGGAGCCTGTTTGAGGAGGGGTGGTTTGCCAATCGCATAACAAGTGGTTTTGGTTTTTGCCCTTTCCCCCTACATGTAAGACAAGCTGTTCATACGAGCGCCGAACAGATGGTTCATAGCTTACAGTTTGTCACATTTTCTCTCTTGACTCCTACTGGGAGCCTGACTGAGCTGCAAGTAGTTGAAGGGTTTGTTTGAGCAGAACAGGAGCCTCTTCCATGTTCTCAGAAAAACCTCTTCAGTTGATGGCTGTTAGGTACTGCACTATATAACCACTGACTGCATGCGATTACTCACAGTACACCTGTACATAGGAGTTTATTTGTAAGTTGTAGCAGGCTCCTGATGGCAGACTGTTGGAAGAATATGGTCTTGTGACCAGATATGAAGGATGTGGCAGAGAATTTCCCAGCAAGTGTCCTTTCAGCATCCTTATTGTAAACAGCTAATGAAATCAAAATACTGGTTTAATCTGAGGTTCAGAACAAGCAGTGAGGCTCTCAGAAGTTATGGTTTGAGATCATGGTGTGACTTTGGGGTAAAAGTTACTTCACCAAACATATGTTTTAAGCTTATTCCTGCTCTGCTTGGAAGCACTTTTTTTTTTTTGGTATGACTAAGCAGCAGATGAGTTATAAAGTGACAGATGATCCTTGCGCTTTGGAGCATATGCTGCTCCTTAATTGCCTCCTTCCAAAAGTGATACTTGTTAACAAGTGACATATCATTGCAAAAAAAAAAAACCACCCAGAAAACCTGTTAGACAATATTAGTATAATTACCACAAAAATGCTGACTTTCTAGTTCTCTCTTCTGTAGGAATTTGACAAGAAATACAATCCCACGTGGCACTGCATCGTGGGAAGGAACTTTGGCAGCTACGTGACTCATGAGACCAAGCACTTCATCTACTTCTACCTCGGCCAAGTCGCTATTCTTCTTTTCAAGTCTGGTTAGAACCACGGACTGTTACTGAAACTTGCACCTGGGTACAGGATCTGCACAGGATCTCCCACCTTCAGCCTTCCTGGGGAAACAGGCCTTGATCTCCAGGTCTTTTGTTGTATTGTTAATGGTCAGGGATTTTGCTGTAGCAGCTGGTATTTTCATTGTGGCTATATAAAAAAGCAAAAATGTCTTCCTTGTATTTATTTTCTTTCAAAAGATTGCTTCTTTGCTAATAAAACTGTTGGAACAAGTTTATCCTTTAAGAGTTTTCTTTACCCTCTGCCCTCTTGCATTACTCTCTTTATTGCAGTGTGAATGAAGGATGAACATCCCCACCCCTATTCCCACCTAGTCCCAAATCCATAATTTCTTAGGCAACCTTCTTACAGAGGATTGATTTAAGTGGAAAAGAGTTGATGCAGAGCCCTTTTATTTCACAAGCCTTTCATTTGCCTTTGAAAGAAGTAAAGGAGTCATGGGAAAACATCCTTAAACTCCACATGACAGAGATAATAACAGCTTCATAAAAATCCATAGTTACTTCATAAATCCAAGTTCTCATGGGTATATCCTCCTTGAAGCTTAGTACAAAAGGCATCTTATTGGAAGACTAGTCAGCCTATTTCTGTGTCCAAATCCCACTGGCAACTGATGTTGCTTCACTTGTTGGCACTGCTCAGTTTTGGCCGTGTCCTTTACATTGCACTTGAAGGGAAATGCAAGTGTAAGAAATGCCACAGGAATCGCTCCTTCCACATTTTTCTTGAAGGAAAAAAGGTAGCTGGTGTTCTGGGTCTGGCTCCTGAGCAAGTATCTGCTGCACAAGTTCTTAACACTCTTCTTCAATCCTCATACTGTTAAAATTCCACAGCTTTCACATTCTTCATGAAAATTACACCTCCTGTGTTTTGCTACATAGTAGACTCACAGTTTGAAACCTGAGTGAATGGCAACAATGCCAAAGTTTAAATTCTCATAATCCACTTTGAAAAAACCTGCGTCTTCTATCATTGCCTTCAGCTCCTCCTGAAAAAGAAGTGCCATAATTTTAACAACTCGAAGGCCTGTGAGCCAGTGGCTGCAAGGCTGTGCTGGGATCATGTTTTGTGTGTTAGGAGTTCAGGGAAATCCTGTCTCACCTGAGGAGGGAACCGCCGGATGCTCTCCACCAGATACTGGTAAGACTTCCAGTCACCAGCAATGACCTCACCCAGAACAGGGATAACCTGGAAACTGTAGAGATCATAGAGCCTGCACACACAGACAACAAATGCAAATGAATACAAGGAAGTTTAAAAACCAACCCTCTCCAACACAAGCTGGTCTCTGTACCACTATGCTGTGCAGTCTGTGCCTGATTTTAAAAGTGCACAAAGAAGAGGCCTCAAAGTGTCTCCGTCTCTTATTGTGGCAGAGCACAAATAAGAGAGCCTTGTGACGTGGCATAAAGTGCCACCATGTTCTTACCTGGAAAGAAGAGGGTTGCTGACATGACTAAATTCAAGGCAGAGAAATCTTCCTCCTGGTTTCAGCACACGATAGGCCTCTTCAAGAGCCTGAGACAAAGCAGATGTGATAAGTTTGTTTCTGTAGAACAGCACCTGCCTATTATCATGGCATGTGATATTATCATGCAACTCAGATGAACTGAGGGAAGTAAAGAGTACCCTGAGTGGCAATCTGTAATATTTAATGTGGAGCAGCATCCCAAGACAAGTAAAAAAAACCCAAACCCAAACATACAACAAACACAAAGTGCAAACACTCTTGATGTTACATAAATAGATTTATACAAGGCTTTGTGTCAAAACTTGATGTCGGGTTGCCAATTTTTCTTTTTCCCTACTCCCACTGATGAATGTTTGTTGGCAGAGCTCTTGTAATTACAGACCAAACCCAAAAGGGAGAAGGTGACTCACCTACAAGAAACCGAAAAAGAAAAAAGGGCACGATAGATTTTTTTTTTTAAATTGAAAGAAAAGATTTTACTGAGGCACACCCAAAAGATCAAAGAAGGAATGATACTGGGTTTCGGATGAGCAATGTGTAAGAACAGGAAGGAAGGAGAAGGAAGAAGAAAATCTTTGGCTACTTCAAAAATTCCATCCTATATCCAAAACAAAATACCTAAGAAGAATCAAGAAAAAATTTGCTTTACAACTGTATGTTCTTTCATGCAAGAGCAAAGCAGAGTTGTATTCCAGCAGCTCTGCAGGTTGCTTGGCTTCAACTGTCCTGTTTCTAAGGAGGGGGACACAAACAGTACACATACATGACAGGAGCTCTGCAAAAGAATTGGTAGCTTGGGTGTTTTGTATCAGGTCTCCAGGGAACTCTGCCACCAGACTCCTGTATCCATGAAGGCAAAAAGCCTGTGCTTTGGAAAGGTGCAGACAAAGTACCAGGAAAATCCATCCACATTAACTTCCAAGGCATATGGTCCAAGGTGGTTACACCTGCCACAGAAGGAGCTTTGCCAAGGTTGTAACACACTGCTCCAAAACACACACAACTAGTCCACCTAGACAGGTGATCTAACCTATCTTTACCCCCACGACAGCTTGTCCTCCTCAAAGGATAGACATTGTTTAGAACAAAGGGCACTACTTATCCTAATTAAGATCATACTTGTTCTTCACAGGAAGCTCTACCACCAGCCAGTGTAAAGACACTGAGCAGAAATGGGCAGAACAGGTCAGCTAACAGCAGTGGGGGCAGCAGCCAGCTGCTTCCCACCCCGCTCTGGAAGCTCTGCTGGCTCAGACAGAGAAACAGAAGAGAACAGGAACTGTTGGACCCACAGTGGGTGGGATGTAGATCTGGTACTTCAGAAGATTTGAGACATGCAGACTGACTGCATTGTGCATGTGTAGATCCAGCCATGCCATAGGTCAGGAGAAGGTGGGGAATGACTGCAGCATCCAGGCCCTTTGCCTTAGGAAGAGATCGTGTGGCTTGTCAAGCTGGAAGGATTGGGTGCAACTGGTATAAATCTATCTTTTTATGGCAAAGGTGGGGCATTTAATTGCATTCTCCATTCAAACAAGTTGCACACCACATGCCACTTCTTTTAAATGTTTCAGGAGTAGACTATGATGTTCCTTTATACAAAGGAGTTCCTCCTTTTCTTCCTCTGCTGAATAAAAACCCCTCAGATGAATGATAAGGACCCCATGTCAGGATACACTACAGCAACTTACCAAATCAATACGAGTCACATTTCGGATTCCAAAGGCAATTGTGTAAACATCAAACATATCATCATCAAAGGGCAACTCTTCAGCATTCCCAAGTACCCAGGACAAGCCTGTAGCGAAAGACAAGTCACAGAACTGAACTCAAGACTGCTCCAGAAAGACTAGAACTTACCTATCCTAGAAAAAAATTGATTCTTTTAAAGGTGATATTTAAAACAAATGTTTCCACTTTGCATTTTTGTTGGAGGAAAGACATCTTGGCCTATACACAGGAACCTTTCAAGGCCCTGTACTATACCACTCGCTGTGTTTCAAGACTGAGTAGTTAATTTTGCAGATCAGCCAAAACATCGTTCTGTATATACCTATATATTTAATATGATTCAGTTTCTTTGAACATTATTTGCATACACTCTAACTCTGGGAAGTTTCATAGGTTCACAATATCCTTCAGTTCTTGCATTTTTTATTTGCTGTCTTGATTCCTAAAATACACGTTATAAGATCTTTAGTCATTCTAGGGCTAAGCTCTTTTGCAGCTCAGTAATACCAGATTTGTCAGCACAGATGCTAACAGCAGGTTTTGATTGTTTAATTTTGAAGGACAGCTGGGTATCAGACCTCATGGACACTTCCATATTTGTTCTGAAAGTTCAAGTATTATTCAAGAGAATCACTGTATACCTGAAGTGTAATCCTGAAGTGGTGATTACCTGATGCATCAAATTCTTGCTATCAGGGACGCTGCTGACACAGTACAATGCATGACTTACCTTTAGAGTAGCCAAGGTGCTGTGCTTTCTGCTTCCCAACTTTTAACATTTCTCTGTTAATGTCACAGACCACCACCTGGGAATCCCCTAGAGAGTCAGATTTGTCTTCCTGGTAATTCTCAAAAATTTCCTGCCATGACAAATTCTGATGGTGCTTGAGCTTCCTCTGGAGCTGCCGTTCTCGTACAGCGCGAACATAATTAATGAATCGAAAGGCAATGTCACCTGCAGTTGGTTGAAAAAAAAGATTCACATTTGGGAATGTTTTCTGACTCCAGGAAATCGAAACATAAGGCTTTGAACATCAAACTGAGTTAATATTTATTTTGAGTCATATGTATTAATAAAAAAACCCCCCACACACTGTATATACACAGAGAGTATATATATATATATATATGTACATATATATATATATATATATATATAGGGAATATATTGAAAGCAAAGAGTTAGTGACTTTCTACAAACATAGTTTCCCACAACATATCATGGCAGTACTACAACACTTTCAGACCCCTGGAGCAAGATATTACAAAACACAAAGAAGTTAACTCTTAACCCTTCTCTGGGAAAGTCAAGTAGATGCCTCACCGGTTTTAAAGACGGGAACTGAAGGAAGGAAAACCAAAAAGCTGGGCAACTTAATTCTGAGCACTCAAACAGCTGAAAACCAGCGTGGCATTGTCATGTGGAACACACCAAAATTATTTACCTGTTCCTCCAGCGACATCAAGAAGAAGTGTTCCTGGGGAAGGGTTCATTTTATGTACCAGGATATCCTTCCACACACGATGAATTCCTAGAGTCATGGAATCATTCATCACATCATATTTCTTGGCCACGCTTTCAAATACCTGGTAAACTGCAAGGAAAGGACATGAGAATGAGATGAGATGCAATTTACTTAAAAACGCTCATGTTGAAGTAAACTGTGTCATGGAATTGTTCATCACATCATATTTCTTGGCCACACTTTCAAATACCTGGTAAACTGCAAAAAAAGTAAGGACATGAGAATGAGACACAATTTACTTCAAAACGCTCATGTCGAAGTAACCTCTGTGTTGTATTGCCTCGTTGAGGTCTGTCACCACGCGGAGGTGAAAAAAACAACCTGAAAACTCATCACAAAAAAAAATTAAAAAAAAATAAAAAAAATCGAATTCTGCCTTGCCCGTTGCCTGACAAAGGTCTCTTTGGAGACGCAGCCTTCCCGAGCCGAGGGAAGCACGGAGCAGGTGACATTATTCACAGGGGTATTCACAGGGATACCCTTCACGGAGGCTCCCGGTAACGGCGCAGCCCCAAACACACCCCGGCACCCCGGAGACCCATCACCGCTCGGCTCCGGGCCCAGCCCGCCCGCTGCCGCCGCCCTCACTCTTCTCCCTCCTGTCCTCCTCCGTGACGCTCTGGAAGCCGAAGTGCACCTCCGGCCCCGCGGCCAGACCGCGGAGCGCCCGCGGGGCCCCGGGGACACGGGAGAGCAGAGCCCGGCAGCGGCACCGGCACAGCCGCACCGCCGCCATCTTCCGCCGCCCCCGGGGCGGGACCGGCACCGCGGCATCCCGGCATTCCGGGATCCGGGAAGCGCCGCGCCCCGCTCTTCCTACCGGCACGCGAGTTGTGCCGGGCGCCGTCACTGAACCCCCCGCTCCGAGCCACCGGGTGGTTCGCTGGGAGGGCAAATGTGATGAGGGAAAAAGAAAAAACAAAACAAAACACCAAACAAATGAAAACTGAGCAAAGTTGCGGCTGGAGAAGGGAAGGTTGCTGGAGTACTCAGAGCACCTTCCAGTAGGGGAAGGGGCCTCCAGGGAAGCCGGAGAGGGATTCGCGGTCAGGAACTGGCAGTGGGAGGACAAGGGGGAATGGGTACAAACTGAAAGGGGGGGAATTTAGGAATTTAGATGTTAGTCATTCTTTACTGTGAGGGTGGGGAAACACCGGAACAGGTTGCCCAGAGAAGTTGTGGCAGCCCCATCCCTGGCAGTGTTCAAAGCCGGGCCTTGAGCAACCTGGTCTAGTGGGAGGTGTCCCTGCCCATGGCAGGGGGAGGTGGGACTAGATGATCTTTAAGGTCCATTCCAACAACGTTCTGTGAACCCCAAACCCACCACAGCCCTCACGGCTTACTTGAATCATTTTGCAAATAGTTTCCTTTAACTTTTCTCTCTTTATTTTTTCTTCAGATTTTTTATTTTTCAGTTTCCTAGGTTAAAGTAAAGCCTCATGGGGAGCAGGAGGGAGGGTTTGTGGGTTCTGATAAGCAGCAGGGAGGAGTGAAAGGTGCCTCTATTCCTGTCAGGAGCATTAGGACACATTAGGGACCTTTTCTGCCTTTTTTTTTTTTTCTTTTTCCAAGGTCTGCCTTGCTTATCACTTTATTTGAATCATCCAGGAATGCTGCCAGCTTTGTAGATACAAAGAAGTTACCTAACCCATTCTCAGGAGAGATGACATCACATGGTTAAAGCCAGCCCAGAGACTGCATTCCCTGGGCATGAGCTGGGCTCCCTTGCCAGGACCTCCCTGCCACGTTGGGACTTTTAGCTTTGTCATCAGACTCTACCATGATTTTATATCTTTGTCATATCATATTTTTTAACTTTACACTCTTTGTGGCAGGATGCCCTCCAAAGCGTCATGTCTGTTTTTTGGGGTTGGTTTTGCTGGGTGTTTTTCTCAGCTATATGGAGAGGTGATCTTTGCCTACCAGAGCTATGGCTGGGACAGCCCCTCTCACGCTGCAGTCACAGCTGCTGCTGTCCAGACACGTTCGCAGAACCACAGAATGGGTCAGGCTGGAAGGGACCGCAGTGGGTCATCTGGTCCAACCTCCCTGCTCAAGCAGGGTGATCCCAGAGCACATGGCACATGGATTGTGCCCAGACGGTCCTTGAATATCTCCACTGAGGGAGACTCCACACTCTCTCTGGGCAACCTGTTCCAGTGCTCAGTCACTGTACAGTAAAAAAGTTGTTCAGGTGGAACTTCCTGGGCATCAGTTCCTGCCCATTTTGTCTTGTCCTATATCTGGGCACCACTGAGCAGAGCCTGATCCATCCTCTTGGCACCCTCCGTTAGATATTTACACACATTAATGAGGTGCCCTCTTGGTTGTCTCAAGGTTCAACAGGTGCAGCTCTCTCAGCCCTTCCTCATAAGAGTCCCTCCAGTCCCTCAGTCATCCTTGTTGCCATCCACTGGACCTGCTCCAGGAGCCCTGTGTCTCTCTTGTCCCAAGGAGCCCAGAATTGGACACAGGACTCCAGATGTGCCTCACCAGGGCTGAGCAGAGGGGCATGATCCCCTCCCTGACCTGCTGGCAACGCCCTTCCCAATGCATCCCAGGATTCCGCTGGTCTTCTTGGCCCCCAGGGCACACTGCTGGCTCAGGGACAGCCTGCTGTCCATCAGGACCTCCAGGTACATCTCTGCAGCCGGTCGGCCCCCAACCTGTACCGGTGCTCGGGGTTATTCCTTCCCCTCCTCCCTTCAGGCAGCTCGGCCGCGAAGAAAGAAACATGGTGATGGGGAAGGGCTGCGCACGGCCTGAAAACCACCAGCCCTGGCCTGCCCTGGGCTGTGCTTTCCCAGTGGGGCTCCAGGGCGGCCCGAAGGCCGGGCCTAACCCAAAGCCAGGCCCTCCGCGCAGCGCCGCGACCGCCCGTCGCCATGGGAACCAGGCGCGGCCGCAAGGCATGCCGGGCTGAAAGAAATTGCTGCGGCAAAACCCTGCGAAACTGCCGTACTGCGGCCAATGAGCGCTCGGGGTGCTGGCGGAGGTGACCAATGGCTGGCGGCCCGATCGGAGGGGGCGGGGCTGGGGGCGCTCTGAGGCGCGGGCGGCGCGCGCGGGTCGGTTAAACAGCGGCGGCGGCGGAGCCGAGTGCGTGTGTCGCTGCTCACCGCGCCGGGCCCGCTCCCGCCCCGCCCCGCTACAGCCCCGCGGCGCACACCCGACGGTGAGGGTCTCGAGCGCTGGGGAGGAGCCGCTCCCGGGAGGGACCGGGTCCGGCTCGGGCACCGAGTCTGGAAAGTCTTGGGGCTGAGCACCCCAGCAGCTCCCCCGTGCTCAGGCCCTTCCCCAGACCCCGCTTCTCCCGCATGCTCGGCACTGCCGGCGGGACCCTTCCTTGGCATCGGGGCCGGGCTTGAGTCGCCTCCGTCGGCGGGGAAGGGCCGTCGCGGCCGGGCGATGGAGCGGCCGTGCTGGGCTGGGGAAGGGCTGGAACGGGGCTGGGAGGGCGGTGGGGCTTGTGTGGGTCCGGCTGGAGAGCGGGTGCTGAACGGGACCCGGCATTTCAGCCGCCGCTGTTCGGGCTGTGCCCGGGGCTGTGCCCGTGCCCGACACACCCGGCAAAGCGCTGCCCGGCCCCGGGAGCTCGCTGGGAGTGACGGTACAGGTGACTCTGACAGGTGCTCCTGCAACTTTGAATTCTCTCCTTCTTCCCCAAAGCAGGCAATCATGAGCGATCGGAAGGCAGTGATCAAAAATGCGGACATGTCAGAGGAGATGCAGCAAGATGCTGTGGAATGTGCTACTCAGGCCTTGGAGAAATACAACATCGAGAAGGACATCGCTGCTCACATAAAGAAGGTAAATGTTTGCGTGTAATGTGCTCATGAAATCTCTATGCACATGAAAAATCAATCAGGGAGAATGTTGCTGGGCAAGTCGCTCTAGAGAAACAAGTTCTAGATAATCAAGTTGAACTTTTTCTGTAGGTTGGTGTCCATATGTTCCTTCCCCCCACCCCTGTACGTGGACCTTTCCAGGTCCTGCTTTTCTCTTGTAGTATTTTCTACTTAGGCCTTTTTTGCCACTGTCCCATTGTGCACGTGAGCAGAGTGGCAGCTGACTGTCCCTGTGACTGATGAGCTGGTACAAAACACAGGGGCTCTATTGAGCTCTCCTACAGTTTTCCTGAGAGGAAGCCAGTTTTCCTTGGTTTCAGTTGTATTGAACTTAATCTTAAGGATCTGTTTACAGTTCTTGCCAGCTAGGTCAAAAATTCCAGGGAAAAGTAGTTTTCTGTAAATCTACTGTAATCTCACCTCTCATATTTTAGTGATATAAGGAAAAAAAGAAAACCACAAAAAAAATCCTGATGGTGTGGATTATCTGTTGTTTGCAACATCTGTGTTGTCCTTTATGTAGGATTAACAATACAGGAGAAAGATCTAGTTCAGATTATATATCCTGCTTCGTCAGCTCGGGGGAATGGAGAAATCAAAGTGCGTCAGTAGAAGTTAAACTGATCTGAGTGGAAGAATTGTTGAAATGTTAAGATCTATTGGACTGAAACTCTCTGGAGTGAACTGCTTGGCATTAGAAGCTAAATTTGCTCAAGTCTTAGTCTGCCAGCTGTGAATTTTCACACAGATATGTTGAACTTTTGCCTAATGCTGGAAGAAGGCCTCAAGAGCTGGTCAGGCTGGAAGATAAGGAAGTTATAACTGTCAGCAGAAAACACAACATTGGAGATAGGAAACAGGCTGCCCAGAGACAGTGAAAAGAACCCAGACCCTAATATTATTATTGGTCCAAACTGTTTTGTGGAAGGTGGGAAACTGAGATTGGGAGGGTGTAATTGCCCGAGGACTTCTTTGTTTGGGGTCCCTCTATGAAGGCACCCAGCTCAAGCTTTTCTATTGCTGCACCTTACTGGACTTAAAGCCTGAGGCTCTGCTCCAGTACATGAGGGGTGGAGATACTTTGAAAATACAGGATACCTGGGGTGGAGGAGCTTAACATAAAAAGCAACTCAACTAAGCAGAATGATTACTTCCACTGGACAAATACTCGTTTGCTATGACCACAGTACAAAAGGCTTTTTTTTCTCCAGATGCAGGAACTATCTATGAGAGTAGAAAAGAGAGAGTTTAATACTTTTCAGATATGTTTTGTACCAATTACTGGGAATTCATACAGTACTTGTTTGAAATGTGTGTAAAGCACAACTTCTTAGACTTGTTGATCATACTGGTGTTACAGAGCATGTGGCAGAGAATTTTCCCTTTAGCACAATGAAGTCTAAATTATGGCTTTGTCTCTGTGGGTACAAAATTAGCAGTGAAGCTTTTACTTGAGGGCTGTAGATTCAGATCATGGTATGAATTATGGGGAGAGAAAGACTAGTTTCTCTGAACAAAAGTAGTGTTTTAAACTTACTACTGCTCAGATAAGAAGAGCTGTGAGGTTTTTGTGTGTCTGAGTAAGCAGCAGGTGAACAATAAGATGTAAATAAGATAATCCCAGTACTTAAGAGCAGCTATTCTTCCTTGCCGTGCTCAGAAAGTGAATACCTATCAGAAGAGTTCTTAATTTCTAGCGATCTTTTTTGCAGGAGTTTGACAAGAAATACAATCCCACTTGGCACTGCATCGTGGGAAGGAACTTTGGCAGCTACGTGACTCATGAGACCAAGCACTTCATCTACTTCTACCTCGGCCAAGTCGCTATTCTTCTTTTCAAGTCTGGTTAGAACCACGGACTGTTACTGAAACTTGCATCCAGTTACAGGACTCTGACTAGTTACTGCAGCCTTCCTGAGGACACAGGCCTTGATCTTCAAGGGCAATGGCAGGGATTG